TAAATGTGGTCTAACATATATGGGATATAAAATTCTAAACGTTTCCTCGTCAGAAGATTTGAACGTTCGGCGAAGTGACCATAACGCACGAAAACCTTTGACAGCGGCTTCGTTGCAATGCGTTGTTGTTTTTAAGTCATGACTTATTATTACTCCTAAGTCTTTATGCTCTTGAACGCATGGAAGAGGTTTACCGTCAATAGTATAATGGTAACTATTACCGTGACCGATATGCATTAGCACATTCTTCCTATAATTGATTTCTAAGCCCCACCCTCGAGCCCATCTAACTAAATTGTTTAAGCCAGCTTGGAGATCCAGATGATCAGCCTCACTTTTTATTGTTCTCCAGATTTTTACGTCATCCGCAAACAATAATGTCGACGACCTGAGCAACGGCAGTAACTCATTAACGTAGAGAAGGAAGAGCAGAGGGCCTAAGATGGTGCCTTGGGGTACACCACCTTAGGCCCTCAGTTAATAGTTTTTATATGACACAGTATCCGTAGACAATTCAATCTTAACAACTCTGTGTAACAGCAGAATATAATATTTACATAGTCTTTCGCTTAATGACTAAACAGTCAAAATTCTGTAGAAGAGATTATTATTTACACTCTAGTTGTTGACAAGATCACGTAAAAATGATACTCAGTAGTGTACACAAGCTCGTTTAATCGTAAAATATGAACTCCTCTAACACAGAAGAAAAGTTAGATTAGATTATTTTCAATGTATGATACAGTGAGTTAAATTCAAGCATTTAGAACCATAATTCGATCAAGGAAAGTATTGCTTATACTAAATCACAAGAACTTGTCATACCAGTTTTGCAAAATCAGCTTTAGAATGAACAAGTATTAGATGAAAATAAAGAGAATTCAGTGAAGAAAATTTTCTTTTCGACAAAATCATTTACTTAAACTGTACATTCGTATTTACAGTTGTATATAAAAATATAGAAAATATTACATCATAAATTGATTCGAGACTCTTATTATCAGATGAGGTGACGCAATAATCGTGGGGTAAGAGAGGAGCATAAGGCTGGAAATAATTTATGGATCTGAATTATGAAAAATGATTGACTAACCAATTGGCAGATATAAAGAAAAACGACAATCACAAAGGTCATAATAATGAAATCTGAATAATAATCATGAAAACTTGTTTCAGGGTAATAATAACTGAGTTTTTAAATTACAAAAAACTAATTTAAAAAATCAATAATAATAATGAAAATAGAAAAATGAAGGAAAAATGGAAAAAAATTCGAAACACTACAAAAGGGAATTAGGGCCAAGGAAGGATGAGAAGTTGGACGTGTAGATTATGCACGCAAAGTTCGGGTTGAGATGGGGGATTGTCAATGACTCAACAGTACATAAGATTTTGATTCGACCTCTCTTCGATTCAATTACTTTGACTGTGTATTTTCAAACAAGACTCCTTTGGACCGATGTGTACATAGTTGATTAAATGCTCCTGTATTGAACTAGTAATTGTTATGCATTCTCCTATTAAAAGCCATGGCGGGTAGTGTTCTGAGATGTGTTTGGAAAGTGATCGCGTTGTGCGGCTGATGTAACCTGCTCCACATGAGCAAGTGAATTTATAGATGCACATTGCTGTGACCCAAAGAGGGACTTTAGGGCGCAGATCGGCAAAGCAAGAGCAGTATATCTACAATTGAAGAACATCTGGGACTCAAAACAACTGTCAACTAACACCAAGGTCAGAATTTTCAATACAAATGTCGAGACAGCTCTACTGTATGGAGCGGAAACTTGGAGAACTACGAAAGCCATCGTCCAGAAGATACAGGTGTTTATTAACAGTTGTCTGCGTAAAATACTTCGGACCCGTTGGCCAGACACTATCAGAAACAACCTACTATGGGAGAGAACAAACCATATTCCAGTGGAAGAAGTGGATAGGACACATATACTGAGGAAAGCACCCGACTGTGTCACAAGGCAAGCCGTCACTTGGAATCCTCAAGGCCAAAGAACACATTACGCTGAGAAACGGAGAAAGATATGAGAAAAATGAACAACAATTGGATAGAACTAGAAAGGAAGGTCCAGGACAGAGTGGGTTGAAGAATGCTGGTAGGTGGCTTATGCTCCATTAAGTGTAACAGGCGTAAGTTTATCTTTAACACATCCATGAATGGAAGACCGGCTTGGGAAAACAATTCGGAGCTTAGCTGAGTAGAAATTTTTTTCAGCAATTGTGAAATAATTTATTCAAGATTTCAGCAGCTGTATCTCCTTTAAATTCCATATTCATAAAACGTTTTCTTTTGTACTGTTGGTGCTTTTTCCGAATGATGTCAAAGTGTTAACTTATTATTGACGTATCTAGGTGGATAACCATTCCTAATGAGTCTGTCGAAGTTGAAGTAATTTCTCATATATTGTGTCAGTAGAACATATTCACCTGATCCTTGAAGATAAAGAGTGAATTAAATTCCTCTTTCTACAAAGTGGGACACAGCTATGTAAATTTGTGTACTGCCCATTCCAGGTAGGCCTTCTATAGATAGATCTCTGCAAAAAACCATCTGACCTTTCCAATCGGACATCAAGGAAATGAAACCCCTCATTTGCCTTTGCTTCTAATTACACAATGGGTTATTTTAATTATTAGATGAAATTCGTATATTAGATTTGTAAGAAACCAGTAGTTTAGTATGTGATACATTTACATACATTCGAATAGCATCAAGTACCGTAAAAGCTGATTCGACATCATAGTGAATAATGTTGACAGAGTGACAAAGCAAGTGGACAGAGCGCTACTTAATATTTTATTTATACGGGTTCTTTCTGTCAGTTGTTAATATTATGAACTGAATTTGACCAGTCTTCGTGGACTTACAAATTTCTTAAATCGATACTTCAATATTCTGTGTTTACAAGTGAATCGTATTTTTTTAAACAATAACCAATGAGATCCAGGATATCTTCGACTTGTCAGCTAGGTGAACATGCATTTTTAGTGTTGTGGATCAAACTGAAACTCAATCTGAATATCCGTTGCCTTATTAGTTAGACTACAAAATCATAATAACCACTACAATTCATTCCACACTAAACGAGTAGGAATTAAAACGAAATGAGCATCCAGTTTTTTAAAATTCCCAACCATATTAATTACATACGAATTTCTTATTTCTCTGATTATTACTCGCTGACAAATCGCTCAGAAACAAAAAAGACGATAGAAATCTGAAAAATTTGACGTTAAATTTTATTACACACAAAAATAAATGACATTTTATTGGTTTTTCTTTAAGAAATCTCTCTGTTCATTTTTTAACAATAAAGTTTAAAACACAAATCTATTGTGAATAAATGAATTCAAGTTAACAAAATATGAAAGAATAAAAAGATATAATTGTGTACACAAGCAAAATGTTTGCAATTTTTGTGCATTCACTGATTGATTGTGCTTAAATTCAGTTAGTGAGAATAATTTCCTTTTTATTATTATTCTTCTTAGCGTGTGCATTAATTCATCTACCTCGTATATATTCTGTGATAAAATCAAAACAAAATAGGTGTCGAGTAATTGACCATTGAAAATAACAATAAATAACATACAAAAAATATGGGATAATCCACTATCTCACTCAAGTATATATATATATATATATATATATATATATATATATATATATATATATATATAATATCTAGGCGTTAGCATTGTGCTTGTGACATGTCTGTAAATTTTCAATATCTCGAGGAAATATTTAAAATAAAACAGAATGGTTCAAATGAAAATTCATTGAAAAAATATTGTAACGACAACGATAAAAAAAACGAAATGGATAGATCAAATGGAGAGTAATGAATACTAAAATAGTTATGAAAATAGAAAATAGTACAAGATGTGTAAAGTTGAAAACAGAAGAAACAAAAAAAACAGCGAAACCAGGAGAAATATTCTTTTCTGGAGAAAAACTAATATTTACTCTTTAGGTAGCAGAACAAAACTAGCTTTAATTGTTATATACTCAATTTTCATTATTAGTATTATTGATCTTACATTCACAGGGTACAGGAAGATGAAGAATAAGTAAAGAGAAAAAATTATAATCTTTACTAAATAAATATACAAGAAACTCTTTCTCAATATATGTTCCCTTGGTTTGTATTATTCACTTACGAAAAATAAACAGTACAATGTAACAAAGCCAACTATCGATTGTGTATCGTAGAAGATGAACAGATGAAACTATCATTTTTGGCAAAGCGTATAACACAAAACAAAAGGTTTGTGTGTACAATGAAAAAAAAATTAAGATTAACAAATTAAAACATTAAAGAAATTGAAAATAGCGAAAATGAAATACAATTTAAACACGAACAAAACAGTTAATTATTTATCAACTATTTTTTTCCAGGTTTAAACCTTTGATATTATTACTATCGTCAATGATAACAAGATCAGTATCAAACGAAAAATAATATAACATCTTTTCTACTATTCAAAAAGGTACAAAATTGATTTTCATTATTTTTTTTCTTCAGTGGAAAAGTTTTTCTACTAAAAAAATAGATGAATTCTTTCTCTACTAGTGGATTTGATGAATATTTAACATTTACTGGATTTGTAAAAGTAAACGTAAATAAATAGATATAAACTTATGAGTAGTTTAGTATATTAGTAGTATAGAGTGAGGAGAATAGGCTTGTTCGATGGACGAAACACATACATAATCAAATACAGGAAAACATCAAAATTGCAAATTGATAAATAGTAATTCAGAAAGGAAACTACAAAAGTAGGACCGTTTACATATTCATGTTTGGCAGATTAGAAACAGAAGAAAATAAGCAAATTATCTATCTGTTTTTCATGTGTATGGACACATATCTGTACACAAGTAAAAACTCACCGAAAATAAACATCTAAATAACCTCATCCCATTATATATATATATATATATATATATATATATATATATATATATATATATATATATATATATATATATATGCACAGATGTGTGTCTGTGTATGTTTAATATGAATATAAGGTCATCAGTGAAATTTGATACTAATATAAACTAAAACTAATAGTGAATAAATCAAATGGTTTTCTACTTTTCTCAAAATGTAAGATTTTTGAGAAAAGCGGTATACGTATGTGGAATAATTTTAAATGTTTGAAGCAGAAAAAACGAATGAGTTTGTTCCGATATATGAATATCTCTATAGAATATCAGTTTAAATGCTTTGTAACACAATATGCAATTTATTTAGTCACTGTAAAACCCATAAAATATTGTTTCATTTCCACAATTTAATTAACTAAGAGGTTGACGACAACTGATTATCTCCATAGGATACAATGAAGTGAATGATTTATTTGGTAATAAATCATTCGGTGTTCTAGAAAACATATCGGAATACGATGACCCGCCAATGATATTCCTTGGACTATTCGTGTATAATCGATTTGTATTATAATTCACATTTGATGTTCCACTATAAGTAAGCGATGGAAGTAGACGAATCGAACGACTACCGCGTAGTTTTTCTTCATATTCTAATAATTGTCGCCAAAAACCGGGATTTGGCTGAATACATGGTCTTATACTGCGCACGTGTTGATAAGCATCAGCAAGACTCATATTCGTGTGGCGCATTAAATAAGCTAATACAAGTGTACTGGAACGTGAAACACCTGCCATACAATGTATTAACGTTTTACCACCACGCCGATTTTCAGCAGCTATTCGATCAGATACTCTATCAAAGTGAACACGTAAATTTGCACTTTCTATATCTTCAACGGGGACATGAATAGTATTCATCACAGCATTACGAATATGAACCGGTGGAGAATCAATCATTGCAGATACTAACAATGTAATACCATGTTGACGTAATCTGTCCGGTGTGATAGCATTTAAACTACTCAGAAACAGATGATTATTGATGCGTGCAATTTGACTGAACATTTGCATAAAATCTATTTGACAGACAGTATTGTATGGTATAAGTGGAGTGACAGTAGTATTTCGATTCCCAATAGCAGAATTATTATTTCCTGATTTAGGAAGTGTATCACAACTTTTTTGTGATTTATCTGACGAATTAAACAATATTGGAGTGACTGACGGTGTTTTTGATCTTGTTTGACAATAAGATGAATTACTTTGCACTGTTTGTGTAGTGTTTGTTATAGTGTTAGATGTAGTTTGTTTATCACGATTATTCTCGTAAGCACCAGCAGCAGAAATCACTGAACAGGGATTTAATTTATCCGATACTACTGTGGTATATGTGCTACTAAAATTACGTTTGGGTGTGTTGGTGTAGTCATCTTTTTTAATTTCATTGGTCTTTAATAAATTACTAACAGGTAAATCAGAATTATAAAATTCTAACAGTTTTGATCTTTGCTTATCACCAATTGGTGGTTCACAATCATCCCACATATTACGACGTAAACTTAGACTATTTGCTGTCTGATTTGTTGTACTGTTATTTACTAAACGATTATTAATACAAGTAATATATGGGGAGGCGTGGGTGTAATTTGTATTACTTGTGCCAGTTGTAATAGTTGAATGATTATTGGAATCGGAAGCCCACGTTTGACCTACATATGACAGGCTTGTGCCATTCATATTTTGATGTGGTAAAATTGTGGATGACTGAGGCGGAGGGGGAATGGTAGCTTTATTAATCACATTTGTTCGTCGATTTTCATCAAAAGGACGATAACTTGAACTGTAGATTGTTGAATAACGATTCATTTTATTTATTGTAATGTAATGATTTCTAGATAAACAGGAATTTGGTACATCTTATAAATTAAAAAGAATTATTACATAGATTGGTTTACTATTCAGCTTCTTATGATGGTCAAATATAAAGGGAAAACAAATAGTGATTTTAAAATTCAGTAGAAATAATTACGACAATTACACATACACTAAGTGTAGAATATTAAAATGTGAAATAAAAAGTAAAACTTATGATAAAGTCATTAAATGTGATAATACAAAAATTCCCTAGCTACGGCATAATTAATAACCTTAATTTACGAAGATAAATAAACAAACCATTGAGTTAAATAATCAAAATCTATAGAAACTTCAAACAGCCAGCTGTTTTAGAAAGTAAATTTAATTGTTATTCAATGTCACTTAAGTATAAGGTGCCAATATTAATTTCAAAAAGGAGACTATACTGACAGTTAAGTAACAATGTTTAGGCATGATAATTAGGTGATTCGCCTTAGATATTCAAAGCCATGTAACTTACCTAGGTTGACGACTCCATAAAGAGAACTGATTCCTGATGAATTCGTTCAGTGCGAGAATGATATAAATATGTTATTTATTTCCTTGTGATTCTGCTTTTGTACACTTGCTTTGGAGGTTGTTTTGGTTTATTCTGTATCTATACTGTTCTCACTTTTTCTTCTGATACTGTTGGAGTATAGTTGTTGAAGTGTAGACATCAAAGGAAGTAACATTATCCCTGTACATTCAATTATTTTGCTTATCTTCGTGGTTTTTGGTAGGTAATGTGAGTGGTGAATTAATTTTGTCTACTTCTGATTGCCACATACGACAAAGCAAGTAACACTGTCCAATACCTTAAATTTAGTTTTTTCCATAGTAAAAAGTCAGTTGACACTAATTACTTTAAGCTAATCAGTTAAGTTCAGTAATAATTCCGAGCAAACTGGTAAACGTATTAAACTGTCTCATTTTCCATTGTGAAGGTAATAACAATCATGGTGACTGTGAAATCGTTGAGAATGGGTAGAGCTTTTTAACAGTTAATATTAAACATCATATAAAAATTATACTAGGACAATATATCATGTTCTCCGATTTAGTGATAGTATTGGGAGCTTGAATTATATAACCTGATCAGCATTAAAAACTAGTTAACTACTTTTTAGTGGACGAAGAAAAAATATGGTCTACACTTACAGATAGTCAATTTAAACTCAGATGAACAAATGATACAGCGTTGGACTGCAGAGCTGTTTTATATAAATGGAGATGAATAAAGGGGACCACTAACTTTCATCGTGATTGTGGATACATATTACTAGGGAGTGCTACCATACATAAAACATAGATGAAGTAGAATTTTTAGAGGGTCACCTGCAATTATCGAATGATCAACTAATACTTGACGGTACACAAATGTATCTGTAGATTTCTACCCACAAAATTCAAGACGACAATTGAACAGTCGTTTTGACTTACATAAGCCTATTGAACTTCGGTTTTAATAATTCATATAGTTTTCTACACATTTATGTAAAAAGAGTGATCTCAAACAATGCTTAGTATACTTTTATTTCCCTATGTTCTATATACTGACCAACCATTAATCTAGCATTAATATAATTAGATGTGGGAGTACATGAAGCCAGAATATTTTTTACTTGATGATAATTAATTCGAAAAAAATTAAAATATCTTAATTACCACAAGTCTCAAGTATACGTATACAAACAGTATTTCGTAACAAAAACTCGTGTTTAGAGTGAAAAATAATTTGGTAGATAGAAATGTTTTGCTTATTACATTTACTTTTGATTACTGCGAATTTAAGAGATTATCACAATACGTGTCGGAAGAAGATTAAAAAACAACAGAAGAGCTTTTAACTGTCCATTTTATGAATATGGATCGATATGAAACAATTTTGGCAACTTGAAAATCGTTTATTTCGTAAATGAAAAAAAACTAAGTGATGTAGTTATGAGAGTATATTTGAGTCAGCTCTCCCTCTCGAAATGCTCTCACATGGCCACGCGTATACAGCTACTGTCAGGGAGGACCTACTCACTGCCTTCTCGTGGAGGGGGTGTTGTTTACGAAATTGAGAGGACGAAAAGCAAATGTCCGGCGCTTTAACCAGGTTTGTGGATATAGAAGATCCACCTAGGGGAGTTAAAAAACCCTGATTCCAAACCAATGGTGCACGTGGACTCCAGGATCTTGAGGGAACAAATGGCGTATGAACCAATTATTGGTCACCGGCTAGCATGGGACTGCATCTCCTGACGTTACTCCACTGCCTTGTGGATCGGACCTTTAGGTCAAAGGCTCCGGATGTGGCCCCCTAAGAAAACCACTCGGGCAGTATCCCAGCCCTCACACAAATCGAATGATTTATGTGGCGAATATCTATTTGGTGCCTCCTTGTACCAATGTTTACGTGTTTAAATAAAATAAAACTATAATATGTTGTTTAACTTGAATTTAGACAGTTGATGTGTTTGATACAGAACAACGATTATGTCTCTATATCATGATTGTGTACTAAGTACTTTCTGACAGAAACATGAGAAAGGATAGAGGTATCGAGAAGTTTCCACTACCTAAAACATACTAGAAGGGTGGCCTGCTTGAGCATCTAGGCTACCTGTTCCTGCCATCTGGATATTTCAACAAGTTATCTATTTTTGTTTGTTCTATTATATCATTATGTTTATTAATCACATAACCTACTCTGCTGTGTTTCTGAAAAGTGTACAACCTTTCGTTGTCAAAGTTACAAAAAACTCAATAAGAGACAATGTGGTTGCTGGCAATATACAACGAAAAGAATACACATTATTCAGATGTTCATTTACTGAAGTGCTAACATCTAACTGGCGATCACTCAACATTTATCTCCAGGACCGACCAAGAAGAAAGAAATGGCAACTTGTTGACATACTTTGTGCTGAGAATTTTATATTGTACCAAAAATATAATATTGAATAAAGCTGATGATAATAATAATAATAATAGAAGTATAGGTAAATGATGGTCCAATCTTATGAGCGATTATTATTAAGGTAGAATATCATTTCAAAATACCAAACTATTATGAGTTTATCCAGAATTTTAGCAACCAAGTGATATTTGTAACAATTTAAACTACTACCAAAAGCTCAAGAATTTACTAGCTCATATAGTAAAAATTATTAATTAAAATACTTGAAATAAAAGCATCTTTGGAGCAATATTTTATTTTAAACACACAAATAAACTGTGAGCGATCCCATTGTAAGGTGTCGGACAAATATGATACTACGATAAAATAATGATAAATCCCATAAACACAGTGATGTATGATTGGAATCCTTGTAATTATAAAGTATGAACTCTAATTGTTGAAGGAATTTAAAAGCACATAACAGCAAAACTCATGACGTCTTTTAGAGACAACGCATTATGTTCTGTGCTAACGGTGATGTGAAGTCATAAGCTGATGATAAGACAGGTACGAGGATTCGTTGTGGGGGATTAAATACGCAGAAAGATGGAAAAAACTGTCGTACGAATACTCATTAAGTGACACTGTAGTATATGACACAATAGCCTGTCGGAGGTAAAAATGAAAATGAAATAAATAATGTGGAAAAATGACGTATGTGAGATTTATGGTTTATAAAAGCACGCAGATGAAAGCGGAACAAAAAGTTAACGCTTACAAACAAACACTAACAATTAACAAAAATTTTGGGATTGCCCTGATGAAATGGTAGCTTAAAAGTTTGTTTCAGTTGGTGTAAGAACTTTAGACGAATATTCCTAATATTTATCATGCAAACCAGGAAAATAAGTTTTATTTGATAAAGCTAAGGTATACTTTCTTCAAAATGTTGCTTAAACTAGAGCAATAAAACAATAAATTGTTATAAAATAAAACAATAATAATACAACCCAAAAGTCTCCCATGTCGGAGCTAACGATAGTATTTAGTTGCTCAGGTACTAATAAGCAAGGCGAGGTTCAAACATGAGCTTGACCTCTTGAGATTTGAGAGTTTAAACTATAGAGATACAACTTTAGTAGAATGATAGGACCACTAAGTGAGTCAGTACCACCGAGTACGAGTCATGTTATTTAACGTTGTAAACCGATGACTAAATATACCTCGCCAACCGTAACCGGATAGCCAATATTTTCGAGAACAATTCAGACTACTAGTTAGTAACTCATTCCATATCTTGGTTAGATAGCCCCGAGTCCTTTTTAACTTAGCTAAATAGCATAGCGCGCCAGGGTATGTGGAAGTCATGCATTATGTAACACGTAGGCAGTTTTGGAAACTTGGAACATACATGTATTTAACTTTCAGTGACTTTGTTTTACGACTGTAGAGTAATACAGAGTGGACTATTTCTTGACGTACTTTTTGGTAGACAAATTGACACTCAAATGTACCACGCTTGACTAAAGCTAGGAATCAAACGGGCATTTAACATCTGCGCAAAGATTCCATTAGTCACGTTCGGTGAGATTATTAAGGAGGTTAGACATATTTGAGTTTCCCAACTACCATGATCTGAGGAACAAGGAGGAAGTTATGCAACTTTCTGACCACCTTATCACTTTAACTAAGAGCTTGTATTGCAGCAGACTAAGCAAACACCAGGTGAAGGACTGGAATATTTATTATCTTCGTGCATTTTACTTTCAGTAAATGGACTAAACTTCTTGAATAATGTAAGTTGAAAGCTACAATGGGAAATTACGTCATCATTATGGTTTGTTTAGTGGTTATGAAGAGCCTCAGTATATTGGAAACGTACACCGTAAATAGATTATACAAACATGCTGGAAATACTGACCCAGAAAATAGTTATGGTAATGATCAAATTATTTCATCAATATGATGCGTTTAGACTTTCATCATGAGTCCAAACACATATGATGAATAAGTAAATCATGTGATAATTCGAACTGTATTAAAAGACGGACTGAACATTTTCAGTTGAAACACGTACTACGTTTTAATCAATGTAGTTAGAGACGTTTAAACATGGAAACCAGTACTCATTAGCGTACTACAAGGTTCTGTTCTAGACCATTTACATTTCGTATTATACGTAAATGAACTCCTGTGCACCGCTAAACCCCCAATCCTATTTTATACTGATAACGCCAACAGTAACGGGAGGCGAAGATGCACGTACACTCCTGGCCAACCTAGATGTTTTGCTTAACTGATCTAAAATTAATCCCTCTAAGTGGATCTGCATGAACATTGGAGATGCAAAAGTAAATAATTACAGTACTGAGGAAGGGTCGGTGCTTTTTGTCCTATCTCACAATGTCCTAGGGGTAGCGGTGAGTCACAACTTTAAGATCACGGCCCGTTGCCGTGCGGTTGAAGCTGAAGGGTTCAGAACCATATGGACTTTAGGATGAACATTTACCAGGTTAGATATAAGTATGTCCACCACAGTATACACAACCTTGGTGGGATTTAAAGTTGAAGACTGCGTCTAGGCTGCAGACCACCATTCGAAATGTGAATCTTGGATAATGAAAAACAGTAAAAAGAATAGCTACCTGTAGGATTCCAGAATTCACACATACAATGGCTTGAGAAGTTTTACTTCTTTACTTTGCTTGCTGCAGATACAGAGGTAATCTGATTATGATGTATAGAATAGTTAAAAATGGTTTTGGACCTGAAGGTATTATATCTTTTCCTTCACAACAGATCAGAACAACTCAGAGTACATAACAGGCGAGTTCAAAGGCCAAAAACGAACAAAATAACTATGCTAACAGGTTTTCACATCGAGTCATCAACTCTTAGAGTTTGATCTACCCGAAGTGGGTGTGAAATAACTTAACTAAAACATTACCGAAATAAAGATTACGTTTTCGTCCGCTCGTCTTCATTGATATAAGAAATGTAATTACTTTACCAACTTCAGGTTTATGAGCTCGACTCTGAGACATAGAATTCACTAGAATTCATAACATTCACTAATATACGACTACGTGTAATAGGTGGTGTTTAAAGGAACTATTCATAACACACTGTTAAGTTTATTTCTATGAACATATATAAATCTTGGTTGAAAGACGGTCATTTGATAAATGACTTCATATTTTATCTACCAGAAGCTCATAGATGAAAATTATATCTTTTGGTTGTAACGTTAGCTGTGTATAGACACGGTAATACAACAGATGAAATACATGAACTGGAGTAAAATGAATTTTTGAGGATTCACGAAGAAATGTTATCCGATTTCGAGCAGTTTTATATGAATTAAACCGACTTAAACAACACCATACTATTTAACAGGATGTTTGGTGCTGTCTATCACCAACGACTTACCCCAAGTGTGTCAAATCCAGTAGGACTTTTTTTGATACCAAAGATTTAAGATTGTTCTTCAACGTTGAGGTTCAAGCGCAAATTAATCATACTGATTGATACCGGCTTATCATAAACACATTAGGCATGATGAGAACTGATACCCGACAGTACTGTCTGAAAGTCCTTAGAAGTTCATTCTTGATTATCTCTAGGTTTGACAAGACATAAAATCTCTAAAACAATCAAATATCCATCACTATTGCTTTTGGGAGATTAATGAATTCCCAAAACTTTTGATAGATACTAAGACCACTTTATTACATGTAGTAAACTAAACAGTTGTTTAGAGATATTTATGCGAGAGTAATATACGGAAATGACACATTTGTTTTAATAGATCTTTATCAAAGATATTGGACAGTCCAGTTACCCACATAGATACTATAAATACGTTCAGAAACGTCTACATCAATAATCATATAGGAAGAAGCCTCTAGTATACAGCATTCTAGATGTGGTATTATCCAGATGGGAAATAATTCAATCCATAATGTTTAAAATATGAAAACACTGATTTTTATACACTCATGAAATAAGGAAAAATCAAGTTTCCTAGTGAAGCATATTTAAACCAGTGTTATAAAAACATGGGTTAACACTTGAAACGTTTGTTTTCGAGTAAGGAAAGTAATTATGATATAGGGTTCGTTATCGTAACCACAGTTTTCGCTGTTTTTTTAACATGTGTGCCACAAAAAAAACTTGCCTCTGGAAATCCTGAGGGCGATTTTAAATAAAGTTTGGTTAGTGTGATAAACATAGAAACCCTATAAAGTCTTATTTATTTATTTATTTCAACACATAGATAATGGTACAAAGAGGCATATGCGCCACACAAATCTCATTCGATATGTGTGAGGGCTGTGATGCTACCCGGGACTAACTTCAGATGTATAGGACCTACGTGGAAGAGCGAGTACCAGTGTCACACAGGATTGATTCACAACTTAACGACATAAAGATATATGTTAATAGACTAGTACAATGACTAGAATCACAGAAATACCAACAACATAACAGAATTAAGCAGAACAATCTCTACCTGGTATAAACCGATATGTTGAGCAATAAAATAAATTAAGCTCTCCAAGTTCTGTACATCGAAAAATGTGTTATTTCAAACCTTCACTAATATTCTAAAAAAGTGTTATAATGATATTTTAGAATGAACAAGTAACGAATGAAATATTATACATTTCTTTGTTTTAACTGTTGTCATGACAACATTTAAGCTCTCACCTTAAACATTTGTGAATGTAAGAGAAAGGACCGTTAATTGAATTTTCTCTCTGAATAACCTGTTGCATTGCAGTCGGAGTAATATATTACTTTTTAGCTCATGACCGATATCTTAAACGTATTATTATGTGGTGATGACATGTCACCCTATGTTTCACCATATATTTCCAAATCACCCTTCATGTATTCAAGGGTTTTTAGTTCTTTTTACACCTCGCGTCGTCACACATTCGTCGACGGCTTCTAAGTTTCTTGGCCATATGAGTTCATCATGATTACTAGGCAGTATTAATATGTTTGCATTATTTCTGGAAACACATAAAATAAGCAATGCATAGCTAAATCTTTGTCGATGTTTTAAACCAGTGTATGATTATGGTTCACGGTTGGTGGTTAGGAACCAGATTTATGGTTTTCATCACTAACTGTCGTCAGGTAAAGTGCCAAGGCTCTATTTAGCCAAATGGATGAATGAATTTCGCGCCAAAACCCAACACCTGTTATCCTATATCTGACTGTTTCGTCCATAAATTGTGATTTCGTTTGTTTATTAATTACGTGTGCTGGAATATATCTATGTCTCACCACAGTCAGATCTCTTTCAATGAGGAATTCGGTCAAACATGATGAGTGAGTTGCTCTGAAACCACTTTTTATCTCTGATAAAAGATTACTTCCTCCAACGTGACATTAAATAACGGCTCGAATAATCTACATTAATTTGATAATGATGCTAGTTGGACAAACCTTTCAATTGTTGACTGGATGTTTACAAGGCTATGGCATACTTGGAGTATATTTGTACTTTTGGCTGCTCAATGGCTAAGCAATCATATCCTCCAGAACTTCCATGATTCAAGGACGAGTATTGTCAGGACCACTAGGCTTAGCTAGTCTGACATGTCAGAGTATTTGTTGAACAAATTCATTCTCAGTAAATACAGGATCCGTCGAAAATTGTTAGAACTAATGTCCGGGCTCTCAACATCACATTTTGAAAAATCACCGAACTACTTAAATGAGGCTTTATTGACATCACTAATTGACAGTCTCAGTGAATTTCGTTGCAGCGGTATTTCACCACTTTTTTTGAGTTCACCTCACTATATACAAGAGCAACCATTTATGACTGCTCTGAGGATCTAAGACCACAGGTTTCTCATAAACTAATAAGGCTCTACTCATAAACATTTCAGAGGCGCTTCTAGTTATACAGCAAATGGATTTGAATTGTTCTGAGTCTGAAGAGGTGAACAGGTTCCTATGTATCTTTCTATATCTAAGATACTCTTTGACCCATTTTGTTATCTGTGACAGATACTTGTTAGATCTATGTGATTTTAGGCGTGACATAAATAGGAACGTAACAGAGTTAAAAGTAACCTTAGAAATAAGCGATATCTTCTCAGTTGTTGAGTAAATGTTAAATAACTCATCCATCACTCAAGCACATTCGCTAAAGGCCGGAATGCTTATTCGCCACACATTTAGGCGAGTTTAAGTATGATCACTGGTTATGTCACAGATCCGGACCGTTGCTGCTACCTTGACGTGGTGGTCGGTCTTATCTATCGTAATGAGCCAATCAAGCTATATTGGCTGGAACATAAACATTTACCAAATATTTCTTTCAAACTGTATAAATAACGACAATCCAATAGATTTCTCCTGATTAAATTGCAAATGCAAGTTCGAACAGTAAAATAGTTTAATCAGGGCCAATTCCTTTTCGATTTGTTTTTTAACAATACCACAATTGGTTTGAGAAGTACACGAATGATTCTTATGATATACAACTTTGCACTTTCAGAATTTACGGAAGCAGGAAGCGAAGTAAACTAATCAAGAGAATATGACAAAGATTCCTTTGAATGACACAGAATTTGAATATCTAAGAACTACACTTATATCAGAATCAACAAGTGTTTCAGATAAATTTGATAAGCTGTATTATTCTAAAGGATACCTTACAGGAAGGCAGGTAGGTAGACAATAAAAAGATTTTGAAGATTGAAAAAATTAAATTTCTTCTTTGCAACGTCGTTTCAGTATACCTCATATTTATACTAGTTCCAATTGTCGTTTGAAACATTAATAAGTCACGAAGATATAATGAAATCTGTCTGTTTGAAGTTCTTATTTTTTGAAACTCATCCTGAAATGCATGACAAACGTTTTTAAATTCACTCATTCAATGAACACGAGCAGCTGCCAAACTGCCACTATATTTGTTTGTTCTCTGATTGATCGTCAAATTTTGGTATTTTGGGTAGTGAAGATTATTAAATTCAGTGGTTTTACATTATAGACTAACTTGAGATAGACAACTTTTAAGAACCATCAAGTGCTGCTCAGCTGTTTCATCCTATAGCGAAACTTTATGAGTATGGTTACACAACTCCACTAAGGCTCGAATCCTGAACCTTCAGGCCTTGCAGAAAGTATTTGATTTTCGGACCACTGAGTTATCATCCAGTAGTTTCCATTTATAACTTCAACCGATTTGCGATATCATGATTTAGGTACGAATCATTCAGATTGACAGTATTTTAGTGAAATCGATTAGTCTGTAATGTATTTGGGACAACCAAGTGATTAGTGCTGAGGTTAAGGTCATAAAGTTTGTGGAGATGTAAAATTCACCGACCATTATGTAAAATTTCATCTGCCGACATGATTGGGAAATACGTTGCGGATGTCCACCCACTGTGTAAGATGACTATTGATGGTACTTGACGTAGAATTAGGTTGAAAGAGAGCTATGGGAGGTAAAGATAAAAGATAACATCAGTTCAGGTAGTCGTATAATGATAGTCAGGGCATTGTGAATGGGTTTAAACCGCTTAGTTGAAATCCCTATGTTAATTGTGATCACGAATTGTAAACTTAAGATAACATGACTCAAGATAGATTACAGTGAGGCGAATTGATTTATTGTCTTTCTTCTTATTCTTAAATTTTGTTAGTATTATATCACAGTTTTTACTTCTATATTTTAACCCTTCTTCTCATATTCCATTCTCTATTCTTGATCATTTTCATCACTTTGCGTACTATTTCTTTGCATAGTGTATTATTCATTTATTCTCACCGTGCGTATATTAGGTATGAAAACTTAAAACTGTGTTTAGTTGTGCATGTCACAGAGTTTTTTTATAATATACTGACAAACGTATTTGATGCAGTACAGTAAGACATTTTTCTTAAAAGTATAATTATTATACACAGATGTTTTTTTCTCTAAGGTTCTCCCTGTAAAATAAGTGAATAACAAATAGAATGGTTTGAATCCTGATTCTAGGTGATCAATCAGGTGGTGTATTTGAACAAATACCAATCTATGTACTAATAGTCTGGATTATTTGTGAAGGTTTAACGCGGTTATTCCAACCTTCATGTCATGGAGAATTTCCATGTCGAATTGTTGACAAATTTGGAAGGTGCAGTAGTTTTTATACATGCGATGAAATATTGAAAAATTAAATAGTGAATTAATTTGAACTTTGCTGGTGTTTTAAAATATCAGAAAGAGTGATATACACAAAGGGATTAGTCTCACAATGATAAAATTTTAAATATCAAGATTGAAATCATGACCGATATACATACATAAAACTATAAATAACTAACAACTTAAACATGGAGATGTAAAATATCAACTAACTTCAACCTACTACGTAATTTGAAGAAAATGTAACTTATGACATTATCGGTCCCACTATTAGACTTTGCAAAAATTTTCATCCTTTGTACAGAAATTTTATTCCACTAAAACAGGAAATTTTAACATGTGTTGAAAATTACTAACTACTAGCAAGCTCAAAAATCGGTCTCATGCAGTACAAATCTATTTATTTATTTTATACCTTCGAGTTCCCACGTTCATTCTTTCTTTTTCAAAGAGTGCTTCTAACATTTGATTGCCCACTTTACTTTGTATCAGACTTTTAAAGTCCTTTATCTGTGAGAATGTTAACTACTGTAACTTCGGCTGATGGACTTTGTGTGTGGTTTTAAATGACTATGTATGACTAATTGCATAAAAAAGCAGCTCCAAATATATCGACAATGCCATCTGATAAATAAACGTCATACGTAGACGAATGAAACCATCATATATACATTTCATGTTTTTAAAATGTTAGTTGAAAGTTTGTTAATTTATCAATTACTAATCAAATATCAACAGAGTGATTGCTTTTCACTCGACCCATACATACACCATGAAAGTATAACTTGCTGCTCCTAATTTATCTGATTGTATAGGATAAATTATATCGGCTGCAGTCGTCATCATATTTCAATATCTGATACCATAAAAATATCTGAGAATCATTGAAATATCTTGTCTATCATGAAAACAACTTCATAGTATTTTTATTATTAATTAACTAGGCTACTGATCATTACTTTCCCTTTCGTTGTCACTCATATTTTTAGGCTGCTGCCATTTTAGCTTGTTATAAAACAGCTCCAGAAAGAGTCCGGGTGATAAAAGCTTTACAAAAAGTACGTTTTCATCCTTTTATTAATATATGTATCATTACCAACGTTTGATTTGATAATTTCGAATAAATTGAGCATTGAGTGGACTGTTATAGATAAATAATATAGTCTGATATTAAATATTAGTCATGACTACAAACTCTACCCGTTGTTTTACTTCAATTCTCTCGTTTATTTTTCCTTGTAGAGATTATGCCGTATGACATGTGCTGAAGCAATTGAAATATTAAATGTTTTACAATCAACCAATTATGATCGATTATTTGCATTAGACTGTATTAAACAGTAAATTATTTGTTACTCGATTAATTGTTTCAATTAATTAACTAATTTTTGTGCTTAGTTTACGTA